TAGGATTTCCTTGTTGTTCTCATCAAACCGATCCTGATGGTAGTTAGTGGAATAGCCAATCGATTTCAGCATATGCCTTGTGAATAATGATCTTGAACTCCTCCCAGCGTGTTTGGATATCATTGTTGTTGTGAGGTAGGGCAGAGAGCCTCTCGATAATGCGTTGCTGAAGGGTCTCATGACTAGTGTGATTTTTGAAGTGCCCTGATGTTAAATCTCTTCCACATTCCTTTTGATTGTTTACGGTGTTGTGGTGCAAGCCGCATGTTCATGATTGATCTGACCAGAAGATGATCTGTTCAGCAGTCATCTGTATCTCTCGTAACTTGTATAATATGGACATCAGTATAATCACAGGCTCTGACGATGACATAGTCAAGATACCTGTGTCCAGAACGTGGGTGGTTCCAAGTGGTCTTATATTTCTCCCTCTTTCTAACTATGGCATTTGTGATAAGCAAATCATGCTCCACACTTTTGCTGAGGAGGAGAATGCCATTAGAGTTGACATTTCCCACCCCTTCTTTTCCAGTGGTGCCCCTTCAGAGTTCGGTGTGTCACCCAACTCTTGCATTGAAGTCACCCATGGGGATAACCTTGCCTTTCTTTTCTGTGGTAATCAGGACTGCATCAGGAGCACAGTAAAACGTCTCCTTTTTGTCTTCCATCATCATCAAGTGTGGGAGCATACACGCTGATGACCGTGGCATACTCGTTGTTACCAAACTTAAGACAAAAAGTCATGAGACATTCGGTAATACCCATAGGGAGTTCTAAAAGCTGGCTAGCAATCTTATGCTTGATGACAAAACTAACACCATAAATACGCTTCTCTTCAGAAGACTTTCCTTTCCAAAAGAAGGTATAGCCATCTCCATCTTCTTTCAGTTGCCTGACTGGTCTCATTTAGGGCAGCAATATTAATATAATATCTTGCAAATTCTCTAGCTGTTATGGCAGTTCTTCTTTCAGGACAGTTATTGCTTGGGGAACCCATGAGAGTGCAAACATTCCAATTGGCAAACTTCATTTCTTTGCTTTGTATGTTCTGCTTTTAGGTAGAATGATCCCCCTGGACATGACCATCCAGCCGGGGTGTGTGAGAGAGAGTCTATGTTTAGGGCATCTTTTCTAGCCCCTCCCCCATTCAGGGTGAGCAGAGGTAATCCTGAAAAGGACTGCTCAGTCACAGCCGCAGCTGCGCTTCTATCTCAAAATTCCAAACGCAAGACGACCAACACATGGCTGCTGCCTGCATACAGATTTGTGACTAGGGACTCCCAGATATCACTGCTCCTGTCCCCCACACCACTCATCCATCACCGCAGGACTTTGTTAGTGGGAGATGTTAACACCATTGGCAGAGGCCTATGTGTGAAATCTTTTAACATGGGGGAGGCGGTGCGCCGGCGGCGGCCTCTCAAAACTTGACAGGGAGGAGCCCTGGACTTGGTGGCAGGGATGTCCAAGACAACCAGTTGGGGTCTTGAAGTTTGGACCACACTTTATTTGGAACCTTCCTTCAGAACTGTTTGCCAAGAGTGGCCCTCCCAGGAGTATAAGACTCCGGACAACGTAGTTCTGAGGGTCATTGGGACACACAAGCCTCTCCACCACAACAAGGTAATGGTTCAAGGAGATGACCACCTGACCTAAAGAATGATAATGTGATAATTTTAAAGAAAGTGGACAAGTCAATGTTCGGGAATTACTGAGGCATTGTGCTGGGAAGATACTCGCTTGCATTCTTTTGAACTGTCTCCTCCCTCTTGCAGAAGACGTCCTTCCAGAATCCCAATGTGGTTTCAGACCATCTTGAGACATCCACTGACATGATTTTTGTTTCCCAACAGATCCAAGAGAAATGGATAAACAATGGCTGGTGTTTATCACAACACCAGCCATTGTTTATGGCATTTATTGACCTAACTAAGGCCTTGGATTCCATCAGTCATGAAGTTGTTATCTAGGCTCAGTTGTTCATTGAAGTTCATTTGCATTCTCAGGCTACTTCATAATGGGATGACTGCCACCATCCAGTTCACCATCTGTATTGGTGTTAAGCAGGGCTGTGTTATTGCCCCAACCCTTTTTTCCATCTGTCTTGCCATGATCTTGTTTCTTATTCGTGACTTCCTTTCTTCTGGAATAGGGATTGAGTATCACATGGATGGCCAGCTCTTCAACCTTTGGCATCTTCATTCTAAAATTAAGGTCACCAGGACTGTTATTACCGACCTTCAGTATGCTGATGACTGTGCTATCCTCATGCACACCAAGGCTGACTTGCAATCCACCCTAGACTTTTCTCAGGTGCCTATCATAGCCTGGCGCTTTCCCTCAACATTGGCAAGACTAAGGTGCTCCACCAGCCTGCCCCAGCACAAGTTTCCGTCTCTCACAAATTGTCATCAGTGGTGAATTCCTGGAAAACTTTGGTAGCCACCTCTCCCAGACAGCCAATCTAGATGTTGAGATCAAACATAGGATCCATTGTGCCAACTCATCCTTCAGAAAGTTGCTTCATCATGTCTTCATTGACAGAGATCTGTGGATGTAAACTAAGATTCTGGTCTATAATGCACTCTTCTTTATGGGTGCGAGACATGGGTGACATACTGAAGCCATCTTACACATCTGGAATGGTACCAACAATGCTGCTGCAGGAAGATTTTCCATATTAGATGGGAAGACTGTCGCACCAATGCCAGCATTCTCTCTTCAGCTAATATCACCAGTGTTGAGGCGAAGATTATAAAACATCAACTTTGCAGGGCTGGTCATTGTGTTCGGATGGCTGATACTCGATACTCTGAAGCAAGTCCTCTTTTCTCAACTTAGTCATGGTAAGAGGATTTGTGGGGGACAGAGGAAATGCTACAAGGACACCATGAAAGTATCTTAAGAAGGGAGGTCATGAACTGGGAAGAGCTGGCTGGCAATAGACTGCAATGGCATTGCATCATACATCAAGCTTCAGCCCGTTTTGAAGATAATGTCCTTGCTCAAGAAGCTGAGAAATGGCAGAGGAGGAAAGGAAAGTGTACAGCATCCCAGCCAGCAGTTATGCTGTCTCCAAACAACCACCTCTCATATATGTGGAAAATCCTGTAGAGCCCGGGTTGAATTCCTCAGCCATTTTTAGTCTCATCAGTGACATTTCTCCTGTCAGACATCATCCTCATATTGAGGGATAGCTGAAGATGATAACAATTTTCAAAAGTACCTAAGTAGGTTATGCACCTAATTCCTATTGATTTCAATAGGAGTTAGGCACCTAACCTGCTTAGGCACTTTTTAAAATCCCACTAGTGTCTATCTATATCTTTAGGTGTCTAAATACATTTTTGAAAATCTGGCCTTTTAGCCATTTAACAGCCATGAAAAGAGCCTTAACTAAGGGCCTGCAGACTTGTTTCTGTTAGGAGAATAGTCCATGGAGAAACTTTTCACCTGGTACCAACTTTTGCACTAGGGAATAGAGAAAAAGTAGACCAAAACAGGGGAGCTATATTGAAAGAGAGGGGGGAAATGGAAGAAAGAGAAGAAAATAGGGAGGGATCTAGAAGAGAGAGAGGGAAAGTGAAGATGATGGGAATGGCAGAGAGAGGGAGAAGGGGGAGAAAACAGAGAGATTGAGAACTAGGGACTTCACATAAAGGTAGAGAAAGAGAGGAAAGAAGTGGAAGATAATGGGTGAAAATGTAAAACAAAAATAGATGAAAAAGGAGTGAGATGGAGAGAGATTCAGCAAACAACAACAACAACCAGGGAAATGCAGTAATGGGAAATGGCAGAGTCCTGATGCAAACCTGTCACAAATAGGGGAATACACACCCAAAGGGATGGGAACTACTGATCTAGACATACATGTAGGGTGTAGCATTATTTGGTTCATTCAGGGTTGGGGAATTATTAAATTCTGCATCCTTCTAAGTAGGAGTTCTAGAATTAAGATATTAGGGTGTGGGTAATAGAACTGACTTGTGAAGGTACAACAATATTAACTAAACAAGTATAGTTCTGGGGAGTGATGGCAGCATAGATATACAGACAGTCCTTGATTTTATGATGTTCGACTTACGATAAACAGCACTTACAACGTTTCTGAATTTACACCCTGATTCGACTTACAATTGGTTTAGACTTTACGATGCTCGGTCCCGCAATGGAGTGGATTGTGGTTCCGAGTTACGACGTTTTGACTTATTATGCAATTTCCATGAACCAACTGTGCCATAAGTCCGAGGACTGCCTGTATCTCATTTATGCTAGAAAACATAGTCTCTGTACAAGCACATGCTGGAAATTTTCAAACACTGTATTGAGTCATACAAATTCATCTGCTTTAGAACTCTATCTCATATTTTCCAGTGATTTCATACACAGTGACTTACAGCCATGTCTTTATCTTGTTCCATTCCCAATTCCCATCACATTCAGTAGTAGTTTTAGGTAGTAACACATGGCAAGGTAAAGCCCTTAGCTTTTACTAAACAATAGATAAATGGGAAGTGCTTTAGCAACTCAGCAAATAAAATAAAACAGTAGCCCTGATGCACACATATTTGCTCTTGTTTAATTTCATAAGAAGTTGACTGAGTTTATACTGTTTTCATTGTATGCGTTGCTGTAGGTTAAAAGCATAGAGTGGAAATATTTTTTGAAGTGAAAATTTCAGTCCTATGTAGGTGGTCACAACTCCACTGACTTCAAAAATGTGATGTCTGTTTGTCATAAAACTTCAATTCACCTGGATTTGTGAATACTGAGCAGTTTTGAAAAACAGTCTATAGGGGCCCAAAATTAGAAGTAAGTTTTGAAATGTCCCTTAATATTTAGCCTAAGGACTCTCTTTGAGTCAGTGACAGAGCTCAGAATAGAAACCAAGAACCCTGAATTCCAGGCCCTGTTCTAACCACATAACTTGTAGTAAGTTATTGCTTTACTGCTATTTAAAGGACTAGTAAGAATTTTCTTTCTTTTTTTCTTCACCCTAGAAACTACCTCTTCAGGTTACATCTTGAAGATCTATCTCTAATCCAGGTATGTGCAATATATTTTTCTGTTTGTCTCAATTAGTTCCTGGTTTTGATGTGATGAAATAGATGTTTCAAAGCTGTTAATCAGGATATTCAGATGCTTCATAGCTACAGCAGACTGAATGGCTATTTTTGTCATCTTTGTTGCCCCTCATTATGTAAATCACATTACTCATTTTAATTCCAGATTAGCCTTTGTCCTGGGCCATACAGTCCTGCTGTTATCTCACTATCTACTGTGATTTTTTGTGAGAGTTAATACTTACAAAATGGAGGATGGGGAGAGAAATGGTTGTTGTACTGCAGAAGTGGTTTGACTTGCAATTGAGCACCCTGCTATGGTTTTGTTGTGAAACTCTCTTAAGAATCCATTATCCTTTCTTTATAATTGTAAATGAAGGAGTGTACCCACATTTGCTAAGGAACTGCAAACAGCAAGGGAAAAACAAGGGTTGTGATAAACAAATACAAACTAATCTGCTTGCCTTATTTAATACAGCTAATTGCCTTTTAAAATTATTAGAGCTTGAAATCCAAGTCTTCAGTCTTCAAGAAAAGATTAGAAAAAAACTCAGATTAATTAATTTTCCCCTGAACTTTGTAAGGACTTAAGAAGCTTCAACATTCAGAATTTGTCATGTATCTCAGCCTTATATTCACACTGGTCTCTGAATCCCTTTTCTTTTTACAGCAATACTGTAGTATTCTTGCCATGTGCACACTGCCAAAAGCAAAAGAATTTCTCATCCTTTTTGAGTTCTTGGCTCTAAACATTGTTTTACTGAATTTGATTTAAATTGGCTGTGTGTTACGGTATGGTAATACAAAATAGGAGTTTGTAGTTTTTGACACCTTTGTTGTTTTTGTTTTTTACTGTAATATAAACTAGTTTTAAGTTGAAATCCCTGGCTATTATTCCATAATACAATCTTGTATTTTTAAATATGAAAAAATGTCAATTAATTGGAGCTAGTCTGGCCTTGTGATTTGTGGAGCCCCAAGGTTTTATACGTGTACAAATTAGGCCAAGAAATGCCTTGCCCTATGGTCCCACAGTAGTAGAGGCAAAAGATTAAGCGATCTAGTGAGCTGCCACAATTACAGCATCCCACAAAGTAGTGTTGCTTGTTCTTAAGGTCGGACATCAATTGCATTATCAGAGTTTTAATATTATCTACTCTGAATCCAGGTTAACTACTTTCACCTAAGGATTTTCAATTTACATTTCACTTCCTTAAATATTGTTCAGTTTTTCAATATGGAGATTCTTCTGGACCCAAGGCACTAAAATGGATCTGAAGCAGCCATTAGCATTTCATAGAATCATAGAATCCTAGAAGATTAGAGTTGGAAGAGACCTCAGGACTGCTAATCCAAACCTCTGCTCAAAGCAGGACCAACCCCAACTAAATCATCCCAGCCAGGGCTTTGTCAAGCCGGGCCTTAAAAACCTCTAAGGAAGGAGATTCCACCACCTCCCTAGGTAACCCATTCTAGTGCTTCACCACCCTCCTAGTGAAAACTTTTTTCCTAATATCCAACCTAGACCTTCTCCACTGCAACTTGAGACCATTGCTCCTTGTTCTGTCATCTGCCACCACTGAGAACAGCCTAGCTCCATCCTCTTTGGAACCCTCCTTCAGGTAGTTGAAGGCTGCTATCAAATCCCCCCTCACTCTTCTCTTCTGCAGACTAAATAATCCCAGTTCCCTCAGCTTCTCCTCATAAATCATGTGCCCCAGCCCTCTAATCATTTTTCGTTGCCCTCCGCTGGATTCTCTCCAATTTGTCCACATCTTTTCTGTAGTGTGTGTGTGTGTATGGGGGCGGGGGGGTGGGGGGGCTCACCAATGCTGAATAGAAGGGAATAATCACTTCCCTCGATCTGCTGGCAGTGGTCCTAATAATGCAGCCCAATATGCCATTAGCCTTCTTGGCAACAAGGGCACACTGTTGACTCATATCCAGCTTCTCGTCCACTGTACTCCCCAGGTCCTTTTCTCCAGAACTGCTGCAGAAGGTCCCCCAGGACTCTGCACTTGTCCTTGTTGAACCTCATCTGATTTCTTTTGGCCCAATCCTCCAATTTGTGTAGGTCACTCTGGACCCTATCCCTACCCTCCAGCGTATGTACCTCTCACCCTAGCTTAGGGTCCTCTGCGAATTTACTGAGGGTGCAAATCATCCCATCATCGAGATCATTATTGAAGATGTTGAACAAAACTGGCCCCAGGCAGGACCAACCCTTGGGGCACTCCGCTTGATACCGGCTGCCAACTAGACATTGAGTCGTTGATGACTACTCGTTGAGACCGACGATCTAGCCAGCTTTCTATCCACTTTATAGTCCATTAATCTAATCCATACTTTTTAATTTGCTGGCAAGAATACTGTGGGACACCATATCAAAAGCTTTGCTAAATTCAAGGTATATCACGTCCACCGCTTTCCCCGTATCCACAGAGCCAGTTACCTCATCATAGAAGGCAATCAAGTTGGTCAGGCATGACTTGCCCTTGGTGAATCCATGTTGACTTTTCCTGATCACCCTCCTCTCCTCCAAGTGCTTCAAAATGGATTCCTTGAGGATCTGCTCCATGATTTTGCCGGGGACTGAGGTGAGGCTGACCGATCTGTAGTTCCTCAGATTCTCCTCCTTCCCTTTTTTAAAGATGGGCACTATATTTGCCTTTTTCAATCATCTGGGACCTCTCCCAATCGCCACGAGTTTTCAAAGACAATGGCCAATGGCTCTGCAATCACATCAGCCAATACCCTCAGAACCCTCGGATGCATTGTGTCCGGCCACATGGACTTTTCTAAATAGTGCTTAACCTGTTCTTTCACCATTGAGGGCTGCTCACCTCCTCCCCATACTGTGCTGCCCAGTGCAGCAGTCTGGGAGCTTACCTTGTCTGTGAAGATTGAGGCAAAAAAAGCATTGAGGACTTCAGCTTTTTCCACATCATCTGTCACTAGGTTGCCTCCCGCATTCAGTAAAGGTCCCACACTTTCTATGACCTTCTTCTTGTTGCTAACATACTTGTAGAAACCCTTCTTGTTACCCTTCACATCCCTTGCTAGACGCAACTCCAAATGTGCTTTGGCCTTCCTGATTACACCCCTGCATGCTCAAGAAATATTTTTATACTCCTCCCTAGTCATGTATCCGAGTTTCCACTTCTTGTAAGCTTCTTTTTTGTGTTTAAGCTCCCCGAAGATTTCTCTGTTAAGCCAAGCTGGCTGCCTGCCATATTTGCTATTCTTTCTACACATTGGGATGTTTTGTTCCTGCACCTTCAATAAGGCTTCTTTAAAATACAGCCAGCTCTCTTGGACTCCTTTTCCCCTCATATTAGCCTCCCAGGGGATCCTGCCCATCAGTTCCCTGAGAGAGTCAAAGTCTGCTTTTCTGAAGTCCAGGGTCCATATTCTGCTGCTCTCCTTTCTTCCTTTTGTCAGGATCCTGAATTGGACCACCTTCTGATTACTGTTGCCCAGGTTGCCACCCACTTCTACTTCCCCAACCAATTCTTCCCTGTTTGTGAGCAGCAGGTCAAGAGGAGCACGGTCCCTAGTTCGTTCCTCCAGCACTTGCACGAAGAAGTTTTCCCCAACACTGTTTAAAAATTTCCTGGATTGTCTATGCACTGCTGTATTGCTCTCCCAGCAGATGTTAGGATGATTGAAGTCCCCCATGAGAATCAGGGCCTGTGATCTGGAAACTTCTGTTAGTTGTCTGAAGAAAGCCTCGTCTACCTCCTCCTCCTGGTCTGGTGGACTATAGCAGACGCCTACCAGAACATCACCTGTGTTGATCTCGCCTCGAAGACTCTTATTTGTTTTGTTAGTGTGTAGATTAAAGTTCACAATTTGCCACTGACAGAGATAATGGCTCCAAACAAGATATAGCTGTCTCTAATGTGTCCGAGATCTATAGATTATAGGAGTATCTCAATTTCCACTGAATATTTTTTTAAACTACTGTTGGGGGGAAAACAGAACAAAGAAGTCCAGCACAGAAATCCGTGTTTATGTTATATGACGTTCCTGATTTACAGGGCTGAGCAGAAGCCCTTCAGTCCCACAGTCCTTTGAAATTCTGTGTTGGTGTGGTCTTTTATCCAAAGTCCAAAACTTTTCCTAGTGCTTTCTAAGTCAACATTTCTGCAGCCTTTGACACTGCTTCCTCCACTCCCCTTCCATGTCTTTTTAGACTGACCATATTTCCAAACAAAGAAACAGAACACGTGGCCATTTTCTCCCATCATCACCTCCTTCACTTCTTCCTCTCTCTCAGCATACCTTTTCCATTTCCAGCTTTTTTCTTTTACTCTTAAAATCCACCACAATAGCTTGCATTTACTCCATATTAGTTCTCTTATTTTCTTTCCCTTTTTGTTCTCTTCTTTCTCTCTGTTAATATCCCCTCACCTGGTCCTTCCTGGCTCATTACTGATGTAAAAAAAACATCAGGACAATCTCTATCCCAAAGATCTGCTCTTAAAGGCCCGTATATGCTCCTGTTCATTGAGACATTCCCTGTAGCAGCAGTTCAAGATCAGCCATGGGGTTGCTAAAGTCCTGGTTTCCATATAACTAGCCAGAACACAAGGAGTGTCCCTTAAAATTGTGAAAATACCAGTGAACTGGGAGATCTGGTCACCTTAATATTTATGTATTAAAACAATGTTATCTACTGATGCCATATACAGTAACTCCTCACTTAAAGTCATCCCGGTTAACTTTGTTTCGTTGTTACATTGCTGATCAATTAGGGAACATGCTCGTTTAAAGTTTTGGAATACTCCCTTCTAATGTCGTTTGGCAGCCGCCTCCTTTGTCCACTGCTTGCAGGAAGAGCAGCCCATTGCAGCTAGCTGGTGGGGGCTTGGAACCAGGGTGGACCGGCAGCCTCCCCACTCCCCCAAGTTCCCTGTGCTGCAGCCGCCCAGCAGGCTATTAATTGCCGGGCAGTTCAGCTGTCCCTCCCCCGACTGCCAT